TATATATATATAAACATTACGCCTGGATTAGATTCAGGAGACAGAAAGCATTTGGTTCGCCAACAACTTGAATGGATCAAACTAGGCCCCGCCATCCCTGCTGTTTGCTCGCTGAATCTTTGCATTTGGTTGGATGATCAAGTGTTAGAGCAAATGCGATCAAAACGATTGACGCAAGCGTTTGGCGTTTTATCCGAACCTGTATTCAGAAAGCCTCGACATCTAACCCGATTTCTTAATGGCAGAAGTTACTCTACAGATGGAGGTAGATGACCGACTACAATTGTAATATTTTGAGCCCCGGTGACCTCTGTACTGTCACAACAGTCGATTAACAAAAATATATCCGGCTTCATACATGCACTGTGAAGCTCACGGTTAAGCATATTGATCTGTCTGAATGAACTAGGTTTGAATCTTTTAGGGGTGTACCAGAGAATACTGAAAACACGCGAGCAAACAAAGTCGCCACGTGAGATCTTTGGATGCAAACAAAAAAGTAATGTTGGTAAAAAGATGACTTGGGCAATTGTTTTGGTAGGGGAACAGGTTAGCTGTAAATCAATTTTGCACCTCACCAGCAAAAAATGTGGGCCTTTCAGGCAGCCTGGTGCTTCAGGTAAGGAGATTACAAACCATAGTGACTTTGTTAACACTCCGCAATCCCAAATCAAGTTGCCATTTCGCTGTGAAGTCTAATTTGGAAACAATCATCTTTGGGTTTGTGTAGTCTAGATTTCAAATGCGAATATTCTGTAATTAAACCAAGGTGGAATAAGTAGAATTAGTGGATTATATTTTACCCAACTTTTGGGGCAAATAAACACTAACAAATACCGAAACCTAAATTCACTGCAAAGCCGGAAACCGCGTTAAATGCTAGCCGGAAATCACGGCTTGTCTTCTTTTCATCCGTGATTAGTTTCCTTTCAGCACTCAGTAGTAAACATTGGCCTTATGCTCCTCAATAGGAAAGCTGACAGAATATTTTTTTAATCTAAATGTAGCAAACAGATCGATTATCACTTTGGGGCTGCACACGATATGGCCCTTATGGGTATCAATGGTGAAGTTTTCCTGCTGTATTTAGGAATCCAATTCCGAGCGATCATGCTGTATTTAGGAATCCAATTCCGAGCGAATTCGTGATTTGTGTGAATAACGACAACATGATTTGGGAATGATATTGTATCTGGTCCCACCCTACGCTTGAATTTCGGGTAATATTCAAATAGGCGTTGTTCACTTAGTTTGGATGGGGAACAAAATAGCCGACTGTTGTAAGAGATTTTGCGAATACTTGTCTCTTACGTGTGTGGGTTGTCAATTCTTCCGAATGTGAAAGGCTCATGACGGAAGCTGTCTAATGTCATCCACAAAGTGTATGCTTTGCCCAGCCAACTCAAGGAGAGGAGGGGGTTATGCGTCAGTCACGCAGTACAATTCTGTCTCATCAGGGGGATTCGTCATTGCAGTTGGAACACACGTTAGAATCGCCAGGGTTTGTGGTTTATGGTTGAGACATCTCACCCAATTTCGCAAATGGGTTCATTGGCTCGCAATGGCAGAATTAATAACTGAGATGTGTTCTACAATAAATGGGGTCGAAATTTATTGGCGGTGTGTGTAGCTTAACCGAACAGAGTTCGGTGAGATTTACATAGGTGGTTTTGAAACGCAAGTTGACGACGAGGTGAAGCTGCTATTTGTGCACTTGTGTGGATTTAAAGTTGGTCGTGTTGTATATAGTTGCTAAATCACGCAGCAGATTGTGCCCTGACCTGATTGCGCATGTTTGACCTGGGATGATATCGCAGGTGACGTGTATCAAGGGTGAAACGTAAACCAAAGAGCCTTACTGCCCTCGACCTCGCGTAACCGTTGGAATAGACTAATAGGCGATCATAGGGCTTTAGTTACTCTATCAATTTAGGACCATAACTCACCAGGTTATCAACACAAACCGCGCATGACCTAGCTCTTAAATCAAATTAGACTGATCGTTTCTGGGTAAGAAAGGCACAGATGGCCTTACACCAGCTTGTAGTTGACGTTGCACAAATGCAAGTTGTAAGGTGCTGCACCAAGACGCAAAAAATTCAAACATGAGGCGGTAAAATTTGAATCAATGTTGTGGTTGCGGCGCGTCGAGTGGGACCGACCTTTCTGGGGAGTTTAGTTTTGGCTTAGAATAACTTGCGTAAATTTAAGGGCGCACAACTTTTTGTCCAGCACTTTCCTCAGATAGCTTTTTGAAATAAACGCCTGCTTAGAAATGCCTTCATATTACAGAGTTGTTGAGCGGAAAGTTCGATTTAGTGCTTCTTCAGGTTATCGAGTGTGAACATAAAATGATTGACAGAATAGAAAATTCATGTGCGATTGATATGTCGGTCGACAATGTTTATAAACGTGGATAAAAGATGGTTCTGTCACATTCGCCGTAGATGCATGATTTGGAAAATACCCCTCCAAACTCATCACAGTTCAAGGATTTTAGGCCTAATCGTTTTTCGATTTCACACCTTTGGCTCTTCCCAATGATGGGTTGTTGATGAGCGTTCCACTTTTCTACAATTTATATGCCGTAATTGCATTGATCACCTAAGAGAATCTATTGGAATTGCAAACTCTTGCTTTGGACCGAGGATGAGCTCACTTTTAAGTAACACAAAAGAATCTTTTTGGTAGAGGTTAGTCAAAAAACATGTCATGCTCGTTCTATTTTACAATTTTCCTTTGAAAAACTGGAAAAAATTACCCTTGGACATACTGCACAATCAGCGAAGGCTCCATCTTGCAAGTCTAGAAAAATATGGTCACTGAAGGCTTTGAGGATTTCACTGTTTACTGGTTCCCCCTAGAATGATGGAGAAAGGTCCATGAATAAGCCTTAATGGTAAAGCATGGAAGTCAAAAACGGAAATACATGATAAAGTGCTACTTCAAACAGCCGGGTGGGACTGAGGTTCAGGCGGATGAAGGAGTTTGCCGACAGTTTGGGGAAATGAGTATTAAGTGTGTTATGAATGGAAGCACGTGAGCATTTAAGCTGCAGTAATGATCACGACCTTGAACAGTTACTCCCCAGGTTTGCGTGTGTGTGTGACCTGCTAATACTTGGTACGAAATTTATTTAGAGCGCAGAGATGTGTTTTCTCGCAGGAAAGCTTTGAATGTTCGAGTGAAGTAGATTTAGCCAACCACAGTTCAGGAGGATACTGGCTGGTGAATTGTATTAGAATACAGACAGAAACTATGAGTTCACTTCGGTGTAAGAAATATATCTAATTCCTCACTTAGAGAATGGAGAAGAATAAGAGTAGTAAGAAAGTGTAGGTTTGTCTCGCATGATTTGCGGATAGTCGTACAAGTGGTTCTCACAATAATGTTTCTGTAATGAAGATGAAAGCACACACGTGTGTGATTTCCGTCGTAGGGTGTAGAAATATGATACGCCATGAGTCAGAGACGGACAAACTTTATCAGCTTTCCTGTACCGGTTACACTAGTCTTATTTTCACTCTTTCGATTGATACCAGTTTATAAGGCGAGCTGTATTGAATTATTTCGTATGAAGCTACGAAAGTATACTAGGGAAGTGCTTAGGGCTACCATTATATATTCTAAACCGATAAGTGCAAGCGACAAACGTCTGACTAAGCAGCTTTGAGTGAGCGAAGAACTGTGCATACAAAAAACGGCAATTAATTAATAGGAAATTTCTTGTTCCAGATATGCCCGGAAGATCTTAGTAATAAGCAACCCCTTGTCAGCAAATATCTGCACAGTTTCTAAACTGAAGTACGTAGTTCATCCATCCCAGTAAAGCGACTGAGAGATGATAACTGGATTGGCCTAAATTGTTTGTTAATTAAATTGATGTTATTAACATGGGACCACCAAACATTCGCTTAATCTGTTGTGTGCAATCGCCGCTATGCGGTGAGCCTCAACAGGGAAGAAGAAACCTTTAGCGTTTTTTCACCCCTATAAATGGTGCTGTGTAATGTATAGAGATTACGTTTGCTGAAAATTATTTATCTATCGACAGGCAATGTGCGACGACACGTCCTTTAAATTCCATATTCCATTTTTATTCTAATCACAGACAACATGCCTTTCCGTATGGAACGAAGCCAGTTAAACAAAGCTTCTTATGTAATCTTGATGCCAATGGTCAATTGGGAGATGACAACAAAGATGTTCTCCTGATGAATCTCACCAAAAATTGAAGCGCTGTTGGTTGTTGATCAGATGGCTGTTGATCTGTTCGCCGAGCTTGGCTTGGCGCTTGCAAACGTTTCGTCACCATA